TTTGTGGCAAAAATCCTAAAATGTCTTTCAGTGAAATCAGTGAAGATGATATGCCATCATACTTTTGGCATCTGGAGCTAAGAAGTTATTTCTGAAAATGATACAGCTGGCTGAATGTGTAGTAAGACTAAAAAAAATCTGGATGCTCTTACATTTTCATTTCCAAGTCTAGGGGAGAGCTTATCAGGAAAGCCTAATTGTATCATTTTTCTTTCTGGTGGAGAACGGGAGCTGAACCTCAAATGTAGAGTGTGTAATTAGTATGTCTAGTTTTGAACACAGTTGCTTGTGAAGAGATCAATCTGAAACCAATTTTTCAAATAATATTTATCATTTAAAGACTGTAAGCATACTACATAGGTAAAAAGTGGTAACTTCTAGTTACTGAGTTATATCTCCGAAGTCTTTTAACATCAGATAATTAAAAATGGAATTTGCTTAAATGGGTTAGCAGCTTGTGCTATAAAGAATTAATGATCAGCTTTTATTGATTTGGAGATTTGTGAATTCTGAGATTACAAGGTTCAGGGGCTTCAAGCTTCTGAAATTTTATGTTTGTATTTCTTTCTACTTAATGTATTGTGAGTCAGCTTGACTTTTTTTAATCCTGCCCCCCTCCCCCACAGAAAGCAATCTTTGGGATAGGAATACTTCAGAGGTTGCTTTGCATAAAAAATCCTGTACTTACTTTATTTAAAAATTGAAACCACAGCTATTTGTGTTAAGGTTATTTTCACAAACTATAAACTTGAGTTTTGCCTGTTATGCCACCATCAGTTTAAGTATTGTAGTGTAGCAGTTGTTCCTGCTGGTGTAAGTTAATAACTTTTTAGAAGGGTATAATACCTGAATGAAGGTAATGTCTGTGTCTGAAAACTAAAATTTATGTTCCTCATTATCCTGCTTTAAAAAAGTTAATGTGAAACCTGCCTGTTAGAGGCATTTCTTTACTGATTACTTCGAGGGCTGAACCTAAGGGTTCCAGATCCAGATCTAGAAGAGAAAGTTACTGCTTAAAGGGGATTTATGTAGAACCTGGGTGCCCAAACCCACAGTTGCCACCCTGAAGATCTCTGCTGTTTAACATTGAAGACCAAAGGAATGTACAGATTTTTATTTCACTTGTGAAGCTCCCCAGATGACTGTAACTGTGCGTGTTCATCCTTAGAATTGCCACTGTCGTGGAAGGACTGGGGCCCTTAGCAGCTAACTCAAGCAGCGAACTAAGATTTGGAAATTAGTCATTCCTCTGCCCATACAGCAGGGGGACCAGTGCTTCGCTATTTTGCAAAGGGCGTCTAATGCACTAACCCAAACAAGCTTACTAGGAGATAGAGTAATGGCCTGTGCTTTAAAACACACTAAAAGAAATGCTTTTGGTATTTGTGAAGTCTGGATGAAAAATCCAGAATGTTTGGCAAGTGAGTACCAAAAGAAAGTAGTCAGACTGTTTCCCTGCTTTGCTCTCTGGTGCCGCCTTTTTCCTCGTGGTAGGACGCTATCGTGGCTGTTTATGCTCCAATATACACAGATACTCCCATAGCCATAACCTGACTGTTCTAACCAGCACACATATGGGAGAGAAGGCTGAAGATGACAGCACTACTGCATCTTATGGCTGTGTTTAAAGAAAAAAAAAAAAAAAAAAAGACAGGCTTACTTCAGCTTTTTCAAAGGGAAGGGTAAACAGGCATTGCCAAGACAATTATCAATGTCAAAGGTAATACTTTAAATCCTGTTGAGGGTCAGGATTTAAGTGTCTCTCCCCCTTTTCCCTGTGTTTCATATTCTCTTGGGATAAATACAACTTTGACTACTGTATCCTCCCTTTCTTGGTGCGCTCCCTAGGCATTTTTCACAAAGTTTGGGTTACAGTGGCAGAAGCGAGTCGTAATTACCTTACCTGGGTCTGACTCTTAGTTTTCTACATACTGTGAATTTATGACATGTCAGAGTACCTTATTTTCTCCGTTGTCCCTTCTCCTTTGCATTGCTGTAGTTAGTACTATGGCATGTTCCAGGGTGGGAATGACTCAGTGATTTATTTTTGACTGTGTTATGCTTTGCTTTTTTTTTTAATAGACGTTAGGTATTTTGATTATTGTTGGTTTTGGTTATTTTTTTTTTTAAATCCAAGCTCTAGAAAATTATCATCTTGAAAAAGGGAGAAGGAAAAAAAAGCACCACAACTAGACAAGATTTAGCTTTAATATTTTATCGGAGATGTGACCTTTTGTGTTCTGTTCATATAATTTTCTCCCCTTGAAAGGCAAAGTTGTTGACGCTGGAGACGATGGTAAAAATTGAAATGCAATGTTAAGACTAGGGTTTCTTGTCTGCTAGTGGTAAAATGATTCTCTTAGTGTTATTATGGCTATCCACCATCACAGTTGTCTTTCTCATGCTGCTAAATGTAAAAGAATGTATAGCCCTATAGTAGATATTATGCAACAGCTCACAGAGCTTTGCTAAAAAGTTTTTCCTTATGGATCAGGACCCAGGAAACATGAAGTCCAAATGCCTTCACACAGGTATTAATGGTAGGATATTTTTCTGAACTTGGTCCTATAGTGCAATAGATTTTATCTTTAAAGAGAGCAAATGTCAGCTTGTACGCTTGAAAATCCCAATATTCGACCTGAATATAACAAGGAAATAATTTGAAATGTTTGTTGCTCGTTTTACATTTATTTTTTATCAATCTCTTCTCTTGAAAAATGTTACTGTGTAGGAATGTGTTCTGTGAAACTGAATACTGAAGCTTTATGTTGTGAATTTATGAGTGTCACTCTATATTAGCGTTCACTTGGCAGTCTTGTGAAAAAGCACTGGCTCAGCAGGTTGGCATGTAAAGTTATCTATTAAAGCTGTGCTTCAGCAAAGCCTGTAAGTACTTTAAATCCTATTTTTAGGTATCTGAGTGACTCATCTGCTTAAAGGTAGGTGTGCTTGCTTAAGTACTCTGCAGAGTTGGGCCACAGAGGTACAGGCAGAATGAACTTGCTTACACTGCCACACTGGTGTGCTTTCCTCTTGATCAAGTAAATAAATCTAGTCTCAGTAGAGGCCACGGAAGACCGAGTTTCCATTAGCATTGGTGGAGAAGAGTCCATGCTTAAATCTGCAGATGCTGTCTGTCACTATTACTTTCAGCTGAGA